TAGTAAAATTCAAATCTAACTTTTAAAGACTTTGTTTTGTAGACCATGCGGGCTGGCAAAAATGAACAATTTTTTTAGATGTGATGCAGAACTTAATTATCGCATTATGTGATGTCTGTGATATAATATTTGGAGCCCGATTTGAAGTCCGCAGATGATTAGTAATAATGATTACTAATCATCTGCAGACCCAAAATATTATATCACAGACATCACGCGACGTGATAATTAGGTGTCAAGATTTTGATGTAGCCCTTAAAATCCGTCTTGAAACTACTCTGCTTTAACTTCGACTAATACAAATGGCTTTTAGTCAATCCTATTGTTCCATAAGAATTTATTGTTACAGTTACGAAAGGTGGCGATCCAAATAGTAATATTAGTGCTGCAGATTAACTATCTTCAAAATCGAAACGTTTTTCCTGAAACGTGTTATATAGTGTTAACTATTTTTTGGAATTCAAACTTTTCGTTTAAGCAAAGTCTTATTAGAGAGAAAGTTTCAGTTTATCCCACAAGACTAGTTTCTAACACTTAATAACTACTTGATCAATCAGTTTTGAGTAACGTCTCTGAGAGACCATTTAGATATTTAAATTAATTGTTAATCGTATATGTATATACTAGTGTTTATAATTATATATATCTTTTAAGCATTTCTAAACAACTGCCAATACGACCTGGGAATGGGTGACTGAAGATTACTAAAAATATTCGAGTGAATCAAATACATTCAATAATTCATTATCGCTATACTTCACAATGTAAATAGAAAGCAAAGTTGATATCGTTAATACTATTCATGGTAATTATTCCAAAGATCACTTCTTTATTAAACCTGGAGTACAACTTTGAAGATATATAATCCTAATATGTACAAATTGTGATAACGATAAGAATTATAAAAAGAAACTGAATTCCATTCCGCCTTGTCAATGAACCTTGTTCTTTTTTTTTTAGATTATATTATTAAAAGAATTTTATTTACGTTATAAAGTAAAGCTAAATGAGTTTTAATTCTGCGCAACAATCCGCTCGTGCAAGTACAAGGTATTTATTAACACTTAATACATTTTTTAAATAAGCACGTGATTCGCACCTACATTATACGTAAATGCTTTCCTTTCATTTTAAAGTGGATATCTTCCAATAGAGAATTATGGATTAATTGGAAATTTGAGAACAGCAGCACTATGCGGAACAGATGGATCCATTGATTTTATGTGTTATCCAAAGTTCGATAGTCCTTCAATTTTTGCAAGACTTTTGGATAACCAAAAGGTATGAGCTCTGATAGTGATCATATATTATAATATTTTATTTCTTTAGAAAAAGAAGTTGATTATCTCACAATTCAATAATCGGTTTCTTTGAAAATTTGCAGGGAGGTCAGCACATACATATACTGTGATAGTGACGTCATCACGTGTTTTATTATTACTAAGGTTCTTTCTTTAATGTTCGTAGGACATTTCTCGATTAGCCCAAATGTCTATACAAGCAATAAACAACAATATCTTCCAAATTCTAATATTTTAACTACTCGATTTCTCTGTGAAGAAGGCGTTAGCATGGTCACTGATTATATGCATATCCCGGAAAGAAGCTATCACATTACTCCCGTAAGAACTCTGTTACCATGGCTAGTTAGACACGTCGAAGTAGCTCGAGGAGAAATTTCTTTCCGTCTTGAATTATTTCCAGCTTTTAATTATGCGATGGATTCGCACTCTGCCGAAATAATTAATCACAAATCCCACCCTGACCCTAAAGAAATTTCTTTTGTTGGGAGTCAATGTATAAGCATCATTTCAAAAGATTTACAGATGGATCTTCGATATGTCGTGAAAAGTGGTGAAAGCACTGCTCCACATATTGAATTCAAAATATTGAATCACGAAGAATTTAAAGGTCCTTGCGTGATTGCAGATTTTACTTTGAAAGAAACTCAAGAAGTTATATTTATTTTTCGAGAAATCCCTGATACAACACTTAGTAATAACGAAAACGAATGTGATACTCTTATGTATAAATCTTTGAACCCTAATCTTAGTTATTCTTTGTTAAAATCAATGTTTCGTGAAACTTTGCATTTTTGGCAAAATTGGATTGCAAAATCGGCTTATAAAGGACGATGGAGGGAATATGTACATCGAAGTGCTCTTACCTTAAAACTGTTAACTTATGAACCGGTAACATTTCATCATTAAAATTATTATTGTTTTGGACATAAATCTATTTCAATTAAATATCGTAAGTTGATTTAGACTGGTGCAGTTATCGCGGCACCAACTTTTGGGCTTCCAGAAGGTTTGTCTTTAATTAAGAGAGCATTTAGCGCACCTATATATTAATAATTTACGTCATTTATATTTTTAGTAATTGGAGGCCATAGGAATTGGGATTATCGATATACATGGGTCAGAGATTCCGCATTTACGGTTTATGCTTTGATGAGACTCGGGATGACGGATGAAGCAAAGCATTACATGGAATTCATGGAGGAAAGATGCCAAGATTTGGTAATCCATTTTTCTCTCCTTAATTTCTCTTATTCATAATGATAAAATTGACATTAGATATAAATATTGTTTTATAAGAATCCGGATGGGTCATTAAATATCATGTATAGTATTGACGGTGAAAAACGATTAATCGAAAAAGAACTTAATCATTTAGATGGATATCGAGGTTCACGTCCTGTACGTATAGGAAATGGTGCATATGATCATATTCAGTTGGATATTTATGGTGAATTACTAGATGCTCTATATTTATATAATAAATATGGTAGCCCAATTTCTTATGATATGTGGGTTAGCATACGTAAATTAGTTAACTATGTATGTGATAATTGGATGATTAATGACATGAGTATTTGGGAAGTCCGTGGCGGAAAACAGAATTTTACTTATTCCAAAATTATGTGCTGGGTTGCTGTGGATCGAGGTTTATAGTTTTTACATTTCTTTCTTGTCATAATTAAAATAATAAGATTTACTTATTTATTTATTTGCTTTAAATAGGAATTCGATTATCAGAAAAACGTGTATTCCCGTGTCCAGATAGGAATAGATGGTTACAAGTTAGAGACACAATTTATGAAGAAATTATGACTAAGGCTTGGAATCCTAAAAGAAAAATTTTCACTCAATCTTATGAAGCCTTAGATTCTTTGGATTCTTCAGTGTTGATTATGCCTTTAGTATTCTTTATTAGTCCAACTGATCCAAGATTTTTGAGTACTATTAAGGAGATTCAGTTGCCGCCTGAAAAAGGTAATATAAAAGATATATGTATGTGGGAAATTCTATTTTGACCCGGGTCAAAATGACCCCCACCTAGAATTTAGGGTTAATGCGGACCAGAATTGTGTTAATGCATGTTAATGCCGGTCGAGTTTTTAGATTAAAAAAACCCTGGCCGGCATCAACATAATTCTGGCCCGCACTAACCCTAAAATTTTGCTGAGGATCATTTTGACCCGGGTCAAATAGAATTTCCCATATTCATCGTTTGGGAATTATAATTTATTATATAGCATTTTAATAGGTGGGCTTTCGGTAAATAATCTTGTTTACCGCTACAACAATCTCATCACGGACGACGGTAACTATAGTTTATGTTTATCTCATTATTTTATTTCCTTCAGATTTTTCATATTACATCATTTGTATAGGATTAAGTGGAGAAGAAGGCGCCTTTTCAATGTGTACATATTGGTTAATCGAGGCATTAACACGTGCTGGAAAATATGATCGAAAATTACTAGAAAAAGCAGAATTTATATTTGAACAAATGATTGTACATGGAAATCATTTTAGGATTGTATAGTGAAGAAATTGCAAATGGTGGTGAACATTTGGGAAATTTTCCTCAAGCTTTTACTCATATTGCTCTTATTAGTGGTAGGATTAATTTAAAAGAATCTGTTAATGTTTTCTTTAAGGTGATTAAATACTTATTATTTTTTTAATATGTTACAGCTGCATTCAATTTAGACCGTGTGTTGGGTGGAAAATAAAAATGCAATACTATAATGTAATTCACCTTTAGTTTTAACTTGACTAGTAAGCCCCATCACTTGTGCCGGGGTTGCAACTTGTAATATTCTTCAATTAACATAAAATAAAAATATATATTATCAGAATACCATATATATTGTTTTAAATCTTACATTATATTTGTTTTTAAGGAATTACTATTCGCACCATTCCGAAAATAGTTAGTATTTCGTAACTTATATACGTAGAAATTTTCGAAACTGTTTTAACAAAAAATTCCAGAATTTACTATTTGCACTGTCTACTTTGTATTCTAATTTTCAAAGTAGTTTTATAAATAAAGCTTCTATCGTCTATTAATTTTACACACTTGTGGCCCTACTTTGCCTTAAAATCCTAGTAACACAAAAAAAAATAGACGAGCTTATGCTGTGATCGGCCTGTCTTACTTCTATCTTCACTTGGACAACTTGAAAAACACTGCTCAGCGCAGTGTACTCCAAAAGCAAGTGATATTGTAGAGTCACGATCAACGCCGAAGCGGCACAATCAAATCTAATAAATCTGGTAAATATGGATAAATGTTTAAAAGTGCTAGAAAAATTCGATACATCCTCTTTGTCGTTATAAAATTGGCCAATTCATTAAAATTCAAGATTTTAAATAAAAATTCACAAGTGAGTTTTAGATATAATAACTATATAGTGAATTATATCTAATTAGATAGAGCTTTTAAATAAACAGTAATTAAAGTTGAATATATAGCTGGTTGTATTCTTTTTTTTGTAAAAATAATTTATAGGTTGAATCATATAAAATTATTTTTAAGAATATTACTAACTATAACAGTCAGGGAATATGTCACACTTGTTAATATATGAGTGTTAGTTTATAATAAAAACTATAATAAAAACATATGAATTTACTATAAACTTCAAGCTCCACATTATTTTCAACTTACAAATTAACTTATTTTCAAATTTTGGGGTTAAGCATATCGAAAATAGTAGATTAAGATTATTTAGAACGCTTTTTTAAAATTCTTTAAAAAATTATATATTTTTTTAATAAAATTTGCAAAAAGAAAACTTTTTTTAATTTTAAAATAATGATTATATATAAAATTATACACTGAACAACTTTTAGTTAGGAGTAAAAAAGTTATCTTAGTAAAAAAAAAGTTTGCTATATACAAATGTCAAAATTTTCAGTTTTTCTATATAAAACTTTTTTTTGCTTAAGCAATCTGTTCTGACTTAAGCAAATTTGTTCAGCATATAACTCTATATACTTTGTGTTTTGCCAATTTTGGTTTTTTGAACTTTTTACTAAGTGAAAGTTTGGATTAAAGGTTATACAAAAAAAATTAAAATTTTTTTTTCATAACTTTTAATCCAAACTTTCACTTAGTAAAAAGTTCAAAAAACTAAAATCAGCAAGATATAAAATATGTAGAATTATGTGTTGAACAAATTTGTTTAAGAGATCAAAACAGGTTATCTAAGTAGAAAAAAAAGTTTTATATAGAAAAACTAAAAATTTTGACATTTGTATATAGCAAAGTTCACCAGAAACAACAAAGTTTAACTTCAAGAAAAACTCTAAAAAATGTTTACTTCTCAGTGTTTCATATTTTCAGACTTTGTTAACAACTGCTTTACTCTAAGATAGGATTGAAAAGTATCTATCTTGGATGTTTCTATATTATTTTTCTATAGTTTAGTTTTTATTATATTGTTCAAAGAATCATTAAAAAGAGTTGATATACGAAATATAAAAAAAAAATATAATCAATCTATGATTTTTAGATATAAATATATATAAATATTGGTAAACTAATACAAATTTGCTTATCTATTTATAAGATCTTTAGCATTTTTATTTTTTTTGTAAGAGTTTTTATTGAATTGATTAAATAATAATTAATGATTATTAAAATAAAAGTGAAAAAATTTTTTAATTATTTCTAAATGCATAGTAATTGTTAGATTATATTATTTAAGTTAAAATAAGTTCAAATTAATTGATGATTTTCTAGTAAATAGGAAAATGATCATAGTGTAATGTAATGTGGTTTTATATGTAAATTACTATAGACAGAAATTTAGAAAATTTCTTAAGAAATATAGTGTTTCTTCAAAAAAAAACTTTTTTTATACTAAGTTAATTACTTTTAAGTTCTAAATAAAGTTGTAGAACTCATTAAAATGAATCTAACAGTGATTAGATCATTCAAATTAGCTCAGTAGATACCAAGATATCTTCAAAAAACTTTTTAGCAACTATATAATATTTTTTAAAGAAATTTTATATAGTTGGCAAGAAGATTTTTGAAGATGTTTTAGCATCTACTAGGCCGATTTAAATGATTTAACTACTGTTAGATTTGTCTTAATGAGCTCTACAACATTACTTAAAGACTCAAAAGTAATTATCTTAGTACGAAAAAATATTTTTCTTGAAGAAACACTATATTTCTTAAGAAATTTTTCAGATTTTTGTCTATAGTAATTTATATATAAAACCACATCATGTTACACTGTTACAAGTGGACTATAGCCTTCTTAATACAGCACAAGTAACAAAGCACATAGCTATAGAGCTCCGTTGTAAGATTATAGCAGTGTGGAAGTAGAATGTTACTTCACTAAGGGCAGTTCGTGGAAAATATATAGTTAAAGAAAGATATATTTTATTTATAGTATATAAGACTTTAATTACAAGAAAGTATCCTATAACCAAAGAGGGTTTCTGTATCTGCTTAAGTTTATCTAAAGATGATTTGAACTAACTGGCAGGAAGATAGAAAAGCCAGGGTTTATATATCTTTTCTAAACTATCTAAAACTAATAAAAATAATAAGAAACGGTAAAAATGATAGAAACAGTAGAAATGGTAAAAATGATAGAAACGATAAAAACAGTAAAAATGATAAAAACGATAAGAACAGTAAAAATGGTAGAAATGGTAAGAACAGTAAGAATGGTAGAAATGGTTACTCTTCTATTAGTTTCTAATGCTACGCATAACTAACTAATAATATCTAAGGTTTCACAAAATACAATAATAGAATACAAGATAATAATATAACAATATAATAACAATAATAATATAACTAATAATATACTAATAATAACTAATAATAAACTTAATAATAAAACTAATACTACAACTCATTCTATAATATTTCTGTCTCCTTTAAGAATGAACTCTGTGAATTCTAACTTCTCTTAACAATGTCAAAAAGTCTTCTTCATTTAATTCTTCCAAGTTAATAAAGGTAATTGTCGTAGTAGAATAAAGATAAGGTAATCTACAAACTTGGAGAAGTTGATAAATTCGTTTAGCACATTTTCATATTCGGACAGCATGTCTGAGTCCTAAAGCTTTTCTAAGATTATTATGAATCTTCTGTATCTTGTCCTTACTATTATCAGCTTCTTTCTTTAGCTATTCTAAATAATAAGATATTTCTAACATTCGAATTTGTTGATCACGTGATTTTCTACAGCTCTCTTCTTTTAATCAACTAATAGTTTCTCTGAGTTTTTCTTTAAAGTTTACTCCAATTAGAGGGTTGTGTCGAATAAAAACTTCTTCTTTTACTTCTGTGAAGTCCTTAATAAGTCAAGCAAGAACTTCATTTTCTGTGTCTTGGATTGGTACAATATCTGCATCGGGTTGCGAAGGAAGTACATCTAATTCTTCTTCTATAGGTTCGATAAAAAAAGTAAGATCGTCAAATGCTATATCTGAAAAATAATTATTTAATACATCAACATTTTTCAAATGTTGTGTAGGTAGGTCCGGTTTTGTTTCTGGTATATGTTGTAATGACGTAATAATATCAGCTCAATCATGTACTACAATAGAATTTCTAGTTATAATTAAACTATTGTTTAAGGCGAGGAAGTCCTGGTTCCATAGTACAAGGAAATTATTTAAAGCATCTATGGTCTGGGCTGTAATTGTTGTAGAGTGAGAGTTTCTATTTTTAAAATGTAGGGTGAAGAATTACTAAATTAGAGAATAGGAATTTAGATACAAGGGGGTATCTATTTATAAAGTTTTATAATAATACGAATATAATTAAAGAATTTTCAAATTGTCTGCTTGTGTATCCTATATGGAATGTCTTTGTCTACTATAATTGTTAAACAAGTTTTTGTTCAACTGTGTGCTCTGAATCTTCGATTCTAAAAATAAAAATTTTATAATGTTCTATTAATTAAAAATTCTTTGTCTGTCCATCCCCTTAAAAGTGAAGTCTTTGAACTTCATGTGCTAATTTGTCTAAAATTAGCTTTTATTTGTCTATAGATTTCCCATTCTAGCAATCACATTGTCAGTTGCGATTGTGTTCTGGCATGTATTATATGATCTTTTTGTTATAGCTAATTGTGTTTTTCTGTTATTTAGTTCTTGATTCTTGGTTTTTGTCATATCCAAAAATCTTTTATCCACAATTTTCTGGTCCTTATCTTTCCTTTTCCTTTTTCTTTTTCTTTTGTTTTTCCTTTTTTTTTGTTCTAAACTTTTCTAATATTTTCATCTTTTCTTCTTGTAGTTTTATCGAAAAACTTTTGTCTTTGTCTTGTCTTTTCTTGTTCGTTTATCTTGTCATCATTCAAAGGTGTGTATACTTGTTCTGGCTGTGCGCTAAGTCTCATCTAATTTAGGCATATAGGGCTTGGCTAGTCTTCTACTTAGGTGCGCTATGTAGTTGGCTCTAGTAGATATTTTTCCCTTTGTTTTTTTTCTTTTTCGTTTTGATACCTGTGGTCTCTTGTGCGAGTAGGATAAGAACTTATTTCTATTGGTATTGCAAGTAATAGACCTTGCTTGTTGTATTCTTGGAATAAGGGTCTTTCCAATTATATCTTTTATTGTTTTCCAAGTTTATATGCTTAGGAATAAGTCATTTCTAATTAAGTTTGCTTTACAGATGCCTCATCATAGTAAAGGAAGTTCG